GAAAGTCCGACTTCCCCTTTCTGGATGCTCCCTCCAGCCGGACAGCGTCCGTCGTCCCTCTTCCTCTCTCCGGGCGCCTGCTGGGCTGGGGCTCCGGGGCCGAGGCCTCCTCCTTCCCTAATGCCCTCTCTCCCCTTCTGGCTCTCCCCCACAGGCTCGAGGGGGCCGGGGGCTGCAGCGTGCCCTGCGCTCCGTCTTCTGCCCCCGCCGGCTCTTCTCCCTGCTGGCCACCGTCTACCTCTTCGGCATCCACCTGCTGCTCCTCCTCCACGTGGTGGGCCGCCTGTGAGAAGATGGGGACCAGAAGCCCCCCGGTGCCTGGGGGACCCCGCCGGGCTGGGCACGGGGACCTCCCGGCTCACAGGCGGCCTGGTTGAATCTGCCCGGGGTCAAGCCCAATCCTGGCTAGTCAAGTCGGGGACGATGGGCTTTCCTAGCCATTCGCCATGCAGGGTTTGTGCTGCTCCTTCAAGGGCAGCCCCGGGGCTTTCCCTGGACCTCGGAGGCCGGCCGAGTCGGGGTGGTGTCAGTTCACAGTTTATTTGGGGGGGGGGGAAGGGGCGGAGCCGAGAAGATGCCCACCTCCCTTCCTTTTGGTGGCATTAATCTTAATTAGCCAAGGCGGGACTCCCTGCAGGAGAAGAAGGGACCAAGTAGATTTGGTTCACTTCTGACCGGCGTTAAACATCGCTTCCCTCTTCCTGCACACGGTTCGGGGCGCCCCTGTTTTAACCCCTGGGGCCGGGAATACGGTCCCTAAGGCAGAGTTCCCCAAACTTTCCGGGTTTGCAGACCGGCCTTTTTTTGGGGGGGGGGGGGGGGAAGAGGGGTGGTTCTGCGCAAGCGGCAGGCAAGCGTGTGTGCCCGTGCTCACTGCTTGCACAAGAGGGGATGCACGTGCTCGCCCGCCCGCCCGCCACTCCCGCAGCCCGGTTCCGAAGACCTCAAGGGCCGGGAATGAGCTGCAGGCCGAGGATTGGGGACCCCCGCCCTAAAGGGAGGGGGTAACCCTGTATTGTCCTGTTCTGGAGAGTCCAGAAGGAGGGAGGGAGGGTCTGTCTGAGGTCCTGCAGCCGGGCTCCGACACTGCGCTGAGGAGGTTGCACGGCCCCTGGCCCTCCCATCTCGGGACCTCCGGCGGTCAGATTGTCCAGCAGATCCCAGAGCAGGAAGCCAGGTCCTCGGCTTTAAGGGGAAAGGATGTGGATGATGGGCCGGGGGTTCCCTTTCCGGCTACTCAAGGAGAAGAGAGAGCTCGCCTGGGCTGGGATCTGCCTCTTGGACCCCATGGGCACCTAAGGAGGGTCCCCTCCCCGTGGTCTGGGGGAGCCCTTTGTGCCCTCCACCCGGCCTTCTGGTTCTCTGCCCCCCCCCTTTGTTGTGCAATAAAGATGTTTATTTTTCTGAGCGTCTTGAGTGGTCCGGGTGTTTCATCAGGAGTTATCGGGCGCTTCGGAGCTGATGGGCGGGGGGAGGGGGGCCTGCTTGCAAGAAGCAGCTTTCACCGGTTTGTTTTTTTAAAAAAAGTTGGTCTTTTTAAAGGGTGGCATCAACCAATGGTCAGGAATGCCCATATTGTGGACCTGGAACTATGATAAGGTGGTTGAGCAAAGGGGCTGAAATGGGCAGTTGCATACCAGGCCCCTGGCATCTGTCTGTCTGTCTGTCTGTCTGTCTGTCTGTCTGTCTGTCTATCTATCTATCTATCTATCTATCTATCTATCTATCTATCTATCTATCTATCTATCTATCTATCTATCTATCTATTTATCTATCTATCTATCTATCTATCTATCTATCTA